TAATTCATAATATGATTCATTGCTGGTTCATTGTTTATACAGTTTATTGAGAAAAAGCGCCCTCAAGCTAAGCTAGATCTCAATGTTTACTTCCGTATTGCATCTCCTAATGGTTTTGTTGAATTGAATTTAAATGCTCCACAAGATGAGCCATTTACTGGATGGAGTATTAAACCTCACATGACACCTTGCAGGGTAAGAAATATTCTAAAATATATGCAATAAATTCTTTCATCAAATTATTTTATATTACATGTATAGTTGTTTCAAAAGGACATTTATAATTTTGGTAATGAAGACTATCCTCTTCCTCCATCTTGTCGAATATCAGTCTATTCATCACCTGATGCTGTACCTACATTACACTACTCTGTACCAGTAGAGGGTGTGGCTGATCCTCTTACCCTAAATATTCACAGAACAAGAAGAACATCTCATCCTATTGCAGGTAATAATATAGTGTTGTGATCAGGCACAGAAGTTCACAGTATATATACTTCTTACCTTCCATTGTATGCTAATAATAACTGTTGCTATCATTATATTATGCTGAGGGGAAGTGTGATCTGACAGTAGTAAGAGCAGCAGATGGTAGGTCAGTGTTACATTGACAACAGGTCATTCCATAAAGGTTTTATAGATCAGTCTTAGTACTATCAGGAGTTTATTATTATTTGTTAAATGTATGTTATGTACATTATTATCTATTATAGATGTTCCTAGTGCTAGTAGCAGTGATGAAGCTAAGCCAGTAACAACTAAAAGAAGAAGAGCAGGAAGTACATGTACATAACATGTTACCATTATAACTCCAAATTTTGTTGGTCAAAATTTTTGTTAAACTTGTCAGGAATTTTTGTTTGACGAAATTTTTTTTCACGTGGGTAGTATGCAAATTAATAACAAAAATGACATACCTTAAAGCCACTTATTTTTAAGTAGACAAATTTTTGCGATTTGTTAATGGTATTGATTTAACGTGTACTAATTTTTGCGATTTAGCTCATTTTTTCAATTAATAACTATTAATAAACGTAAATTATTAATAAATGCGAGTACTAATTTTTTGCAATTTTAAAGCCACTCGCAAAAACGCAAAAAATTAGTACTCGCAAATAATAGTGGCCTTAAGGTAAATTTTATTGACAAAAATTAATTTTAATAAGAAATTAAGATTATGACAAAATTTTCAACTGAAGAAGGTTTGGAGCTATATGGTATGATAAGCTATTGACTATTGTTATTGTAGGTTTTGATATTAAAACAGCTAAACAAAAGATCAAACAAGTTATGAATGAGAATCACTCTGATTTTGCGGATATTTTGGAGAGTTCTCTTAAAGATATTGCTAACAAACTATTTGAAGCTAAAATTGTTGCCCAGCAGGTTCAGAAGTCACCAACTTATGATGCCATAGCCTCAAGTTTTCTGTCTCTAATGAAAATATTAGACTCTAAGTCTGCTCTAGAGAAACATTGCATGATGTTTCTGGAGGCTCTGTCTAGTGTTGGGGGACCAATAGAACGTGTTGCTGAATGCTTGCAAGAAAAATGGACAGCAGCTTTGGGGGGTGCACTTCAGTTTGAACAGTCTGTGAAAAGAGTTAGAACTAATGATGATGTATGAGATTTTTAATTTAGCTAATGTAATGTAAAATCTATTTTTGTAATGTTCCACTTTTCTGGTCTATATTGTTCTTTCCTTTCACTCCAACTCTTTCATTTTTCATTGAAACTGTCTTCTTTTCTGAATTTACATACTTCTGTTTATCATTTCTATATAAAGCAACAAACATGTACATTTAGATGTACTATTACTGCTATGATTAGTACCTGCTCATCTTCACTTTGTTACGGCAGCCTTGGCCTCCTTCCCAATGTGATGAACTCTTACTTTGTGTCATATCAGAACCACAAGACACACAAGGATTACTGCCATTATAAACCTACAAATAAAATAATAACAGAATAATAATAATAATAATAATACAAGTAAAAGAAATTAGTTATATCATAATCTATGAATGTACAAGTATAATGTACTTGTTCTTTGGAGCAGTATCCACATATCATTCTGTTAGCTCTTTCCATTGGATGGTCTTCAGTTGAATCATGACACACATCACAAGGAAAGGCTTTACCACAACATGGAAACCTATCATGATCACAAAATCAATAATATACTTGATTTAAGATCAGGATCAGTATTAAGATCAATATCAGTGTTAATATCAATATCAGCGTTACCTGAGCCAGCGATGGCTTTTCTTATAGTGTAGACAAGTCCCAGTGTTAGGTAATGGTCTTCCCTCAATGAAATCAGGCACTCTCTTCTTTTTAGCACTCACTCTCTGTCCTTCAATAGTCTCATTGAATACACCTATCAGTAAAAGAAAAACGAAATATTATATTTAATTGAATGCATAATTATAATTATTCTCAATTCTAACCTTCTCCTGGTTGGTGGATGATGAATTTACACTGAGATGCCCCCAGGACAAGTGATGTGTGACAATACCGACACCAGGTGGTGAGAGGAGAGCCAAAACTCCACCTCTTTAATGGATGATCACGCCCACACTCAACACAAGATATGACACCTTCACAGCATAACAATATTAGATCAGTCACTTTACAACTGAGAGGAGAGAGAGAAGAGAAATAATGGAAGGAGAGAGGATGAAAAGAGAAGGGGAAGGAGGAAATGAGAGAGGGTGAAAAAGTGAGAGAGGGTAAATGATTCTGCATGTAATCTGTTGTATTATGTACTTACTTTAAAAAATCATAATCATCATCATCACATTACAGGTCAGAACCTACATGTTTAATAATTAATAAGAAATGATTAAGGACACATTTTCATAAGAACAAAGTCTAACGTTAAGCTGATTCCAACAAAAATTTTTTTCGAGTGACAGCCATTTTTTAAAGTAGTAAACTTTCAGAAAAAAGCAAAGGCTATAGCCTTTGCTTTGGATTTTTTCAGAAAATGGCTCTGAAATCACGCCAAATTATTACATTTTCTGATACATATTGATGTCTTTATGCTGTGTAGAAAGTTTGAGGTGATTCTGGCATCAATTTTTCAAGTTACGACCATTTTAAAAATTGAATAAAAACTTTAAAATACCCTGTACTATAGCCCATGGTTTTTTCCAAAAAATGGCTCCAAAATCCCCCCAAATTTTTATTACATTTTCTGATACACATTGATGTCCTTGTGCTGTGTAGAAAGTTTGAGCTGATTCCGACTTCAATTTTTCAAGTTACGACCATTTTAAAAATTGAATAAAAACTGAAAAATACCCTGTACTATAGCCCATGATTTTTTTCCAAAAAATGGCTCCAAAATCCCCCCAAATTTTTATTACATTTTCTGATACATATTGATGTCCTTGTGCTGTGTAGAAAGTTTGAGTTGATTCTGACTTCAATTTTTCAAGTTACGACCATTTTAAAAATTGACTAAAAACTAAAAAATACCCAAGGCTATAGCCCATGGTTTTTCCAAAAAATGGCTCCGAAATCCCCCCAAATTTTTATTACATTTTCTGATACATATTGATGTCCTTATGCTCTGTAGAAAGTTTGAGCTAATTTCAACTTAAACTTTTTGAGTTATGAACATTTTTTACAAAATTGGCTCCAGAATTACATTCATATACATCATACGATACGGTACCTCCAATTATTATTACTACCACTTACTGAGTAGTCAGTTGTAAGACACGCCTTCCTTTTGTAGATTAAGAGCTCTGGTCCACCTAGCTATGAAGAAAATAAATAAAATAAATAAAATAAAAAAATAATGAAATCACAATAATTATATATTTGAACCAACGGTTACTTCACAGTATAGTTTTACAGCTTAAAGACGGTGCACAGAATTACAGAAACAAAAATGAACAAAAACAAAAGAACAACCAATGAGCTTACGGCAAAAAAGATAAATCAAAGCTGAAGCTGGTCCTCACAGTGAGAATGAGTATGATAAAAGAGAATTTTATTTTTCAGCCTGTATCTCTCCAAAAAGCTGCCATTTTACATTTTTACCACCAACACAGACAGGGGCGCGTTAATTAGAAAAATTAAGTAATGGACCTCAAGAAGTCAGTGTAGGTTTTAAAAAACTTTTCTTAATTATTTTCTCTCCATTTTATTTTAGTATCAGTCCTGTCCGCTTCATTTTTATGATTTCAAGCACCTGGATCACATGAAAGTGCGTTTCATCTAATGATTTATAACATTTTAAATTTTTGTTTGTTATCCACGTCCTTGCAGCTATGCTCCACCTACTCATTAATATTCTCAAGTCAACGTGAGTACTTTAAATAATGAGGGAGGGTCTGGCATTAAAACGTAACTTGTGCGTATATTAAAATAGAAGCAAACAATTGTAGTTGAATATTAAATAATAAGTAAATTATTTAAAATAAATTGAAATAAATTATGCATTTAAGTCATACATGTACAACATGTACCTTCTAACACTTGACTCAGGTTTTCCCACAAAGCATATGTTAAGTGAGCTAAACAGCATGAGCTTGTGAGCTGCTGCATTACAGTGCCCTGCCTTTTTTAACAACTTTTAAAAGTCATAAAAATCCAACTTTGATCAGAATCAGCTTACATTTTCTACACAGTATAAGAACATGTATACGTATCAGAAAGCATTATAAAAATGGAGATATCTCTCCTTTTTATTTTTGATTAAATTTGGCCAAAATTCCTATGCTCATTATAGTCAGGATCTTTGACCCAAATTTTGAATAAATTTAAAAGTTCATAAATACTAGAATCAGCTCAAAGTAGATACACAGCATCAAAAAAATATTATAATGGAGAATTCTCTCCTTGTCATTTTAACTAAAATTTCTACACAACATAAGAACATAATAACTGTACATGTACAAATGAGCCATATTTTGTAAAGCACCAAATGCTATAAATCTAATTTTATTATTAGTAGTATTATTATCATCATCATTGTTATTATAAAATAAGGACAGGTTAGAATAAATTAGGTTATGTTAGAGCAGGACAGATTAGAGAATAAGAAATGAGTCAAGAAGAAAAGAAAAAGATACAAATGAAAAATTAATCTAAATAATAATAATGTAATTAATGTAGCATGTAGTCAAGTGTGGCTCCATCAGGTGTATTAATGGATCGCCACTTGGAACGAGCTCCACGTAGGCATAATATGGATGCTCTAATAATAGCAAATGACAGTCTAGTTCTTAACCAGCATACCACTTCACTATAAGGTTTATTCCATTTCGATGACAGTCCGTCTCCAATTCTCTTCACAAAACATGTAGCTTCCTTGCCCATCATTGTTATTATTATTATTATCCATTCATGTACAGGAGGAAGCACAGTGATACAGAGAGTGGTAGCATAGCTCCTTTCTCAAGCACAGCTCCTAGCAACACTCGCGGTACATCAAAATCACAATCAGGAGCTTCACAGAAATCACCTTTAGAACAACTATCATCTTCATCAACTAGTAAGAGAACTAAAGCCAGTCACAGAGGAGGAGGAGGAGGAGGAGGAGTAGATGAGCATAAGAAAGGGAAGGGTAAGAGTAGGGGAAGTGGTGAGACTGTTATACCAGAGAAGGATCAGAACCAAATAACAAGTGCTTTAACAAAGTAAGTGAAGGATAATATGTACTATTGACTATTGTATATATTGTATCTAAAATCCTCTTAAATTTATCATAATAGTCACAATTTAATGTACATATGTACATGTACAATGCATTCCAGCATAAATTGTATGTAGCTAAATTAATAGTCGTAATAATGGTCTTATCGAAAATGTCTTAGTTTTTATTGTCCTTGCTCTGTTTTTAGGTCTAAAACTGAAGGGGCTGATAAATTTTGGGCTTTACTGGAACCATACTTTGCTGACATAACAGAGAATGATTTGCATAATCTTCAAGCACAAGATATTGTAAGAAATCATTAATAATAAAACTATCACATCATTAAAGAATACCAGCATTACTAGTCACAATACATGTACATTGTACAGTAGTTCTTGTCTTTGAATCACCACATACATGTATACAACAGTAGCTCTTGTTTTTGATTCAATAATTTTATTTTTATTTTATTTTATTTTGTGTTTAGAATTTTGACAAGAGTTTATTTGAGATACCCAGTCAAGGCATGGGCAGCACTACAGTCAGCAGTGGCTGATAGAGGAGCTGAATGAAGAAGGAACAGAGACTGCTAGACTCCACTCTGGACTAACTAAAGACCTACAAGATGAAACCAGTGAGGGAGAGAGAGAGAGGGTGTAGTGAAAGAGAGAGGGTGTAGTAAAATTAAGGAATGTATCAAGCGGCTAAAAAGGAAGTGCAATATACACACAGCTTGTAATGTGCGCCATACATGCACAGGTAGTACTAATTACTAAAATATGGAACAGTCAGTAATAGATGGCTTTCTGAAGCCGTGTGAATCAGAACCTATTAGGCATTATAGAGTAAGAGTTACAAGAAAAGAATACTCTAGCCGGTGTAGGAATGTTATTATTATTGTATTATTTTTAGATATTTTATTCAATGAAGGAATGACTGCTAATAGATCCAATACATGCACAAGCTATGGACCACTCACCCAGAAACTAATGGCAGTATGTCACCTTAAAGACACCTTTAATTATAATCTATTATTATTATTATTATTATCTTTATTTTATTTTCAGACGTTCATTGATTCTCCTCATGGTTCTCAGTTATTTTCTTCTGGTAAAGCGGACTCTTTCTCTTCAACAGTTATTTCACCAGCTGCTTTTGAGAGAAGACTAAAAGATGAACTGGTAACACTAGGACTACTGGACCCTCCTGAAGTAAGCAACCACTTCTAATTTTCTAAATTATCAAATTTTGTACTCATAAAGCACTGTATGTACATGTGTATGTACATATTTTGACATAGTTAATGTACATGTACATAGCTGATTTTCTTTTCTCAGTCACAGAGGGACAGTTCTGATGATGAAGATGAGGTTGTTAAAGAATTAGTGAAAGCACAAAATGAACTGAAAGTTGTTGTAAGGTAAGTTTGTGATGAA